CCCTTCCAATTTTGCTGCTGTAGACTGCAAATTTCCCCAGTGTGGGACAAATAAAGGTTAACTTATCTTATTATGAATCAGGGTCCTCAATGTATACAGTTAAACAAAAACTCATTGAATAAGATATCACATCTAAGTGCACCATCCATACTTTTTTTTTAAATGACGTCAAAATAAATGAGGATGCTTAACAGTATGACAAAAAATGATTGATCAGTTTGCATTTGGCACAGTAAAGGCGCAAAAACCCAAATCATATAGAATAGTCTTGGTCACTGGATCTGTTTTGAAGAGCTAAAAGTAATCACGCATCCATTGTAAATTCTCGTCAGTGGGGTGTCAGCATCTATTCCCGAGGGTACGACGCGTGAATTATCTGCAACCACGTGGCTGGAGGAATTGTGTTTACAAAGCTGAAAGGCGGTTGAGTGGTCAGCTGTTATCCTGAGGGAGGTTGCGGAGGGTTTGCAGTGGTATCCAATCAGAGTTTTTACCCTCCTTCACTTCATCTTGCATCACCAATGGAATTAATCTTTGTCCTTCTTAAAGACCAGAGTGGGTTAAAAAAACTGGTGTACCCTCTCAATGCACCGCTAAACAGCTTTGTGGAAAAGCCTGAACCCCCATTCCTCCCTACTTCCCTTCTTTTCCATCTACCCTCTTCCAGCCAGGATTAGGCGGTGCACCGGTCGAGTCGCCGACAGCAGAAAGGATTTGAGGCTTTGGCGGTGGGCCGCTGGGCTCACAGACTGAAAAGGCGGCTGATGTATGCGCTGTGACATTCCAGATACCTCGGGCGTGTTGTATAACAGGAGGTTGGTGGGGTACAAGGCCGGCAAGTGAGTGCCGGTCACCTGATCGTGCCGTGAACTCGTCTGCAAATGCGTGTGGACAGGAATGACGCTTCACGGAGGAAACAGATGAGGGGTCGGTTTTACTGCATGTTCGTGCCCTAGATCAGTAATTCAGAGACGAGATCATCAATAGTATTAGTCATACTTTTAGTGACATTTGGTGGTGTGGATTGGTGTAAGGCTTTGGTAATGGGTTTCGAAGGGCTGGGGTTGTGACGCATTAGGGTTCAGGGTTGAAGTTGGCGAGAAGGTCAGGGCCTGGGTTTGAGGTAGGCGGCGGATTTAAAGTTGGGGTTCGGAGGCGAGGTTGTGGTTAGGTTTAGGGGTGGAGTTGTGGTTACGGTGAATTGGTATAGTATTTGTGAGTTGGCTTTGTGTTCACTGTAAATGTAAATACAGTGAAACTCCTCTACAACAAAATCATGTTTGCAGCAAGAAATTTTTCACAACAGTGGACTTTTCACTATAGCAAATTTTCTTAGATGTAAACACGCACGCACACACACACACACACACACACACACACACAAAACGTATATGTGTACTCTTTATTTTTATTCCAATAGTGCATAAGTATGAACATACTTATTTGACACTTCATAGAGCCAGTGTAGAAAGAACAAAACGGGAAAGAAATTACGAAATTTACGATCACCATTCACTTTCATTTACATCAATTTCTTGCATGTATTTTACTTTACTTCCTCCATCTTTCATTTTTATTACTTTTATCCTGTCTTCAAGCGTTAAAGCTTTTCTTTTCACAAATCCTTGGTCTGCAAAGGTCCGTTTTGTAGCCATTTTAGCAATGCAACGTTCGTGCTGCTGTCTGGAACTAACAATAACAAATACTTCCTGTACTACTGCGCATGTGTAAACCAGTGTGGTGGTTGCTGTTGCCGTTTTTGGAGCAAAGCAGTAGGAGTCGCTGTGGCAGGCTGAGGTCGGATTAGACTTTTTCGGAATGCTAGTTTTCGTTGTAGTGAACCTCGTTGCGAAGCAAGGGCAGAGAAAAATCTTTCGTATTATGTAACAGGGGGACTTTTTGTTGTAGGGGGAGCAGAAAAGTGGGAATGGCTTTCATGCATGATTTTTTTCACCCTCGGGGGTATTTTCGCCCATGTAGGTTTCGCTGTAGAGGAGTTTCACTGTACAACTTAATGGTGGCACTGTCTCTACCCTGAAAAAAATATATAAGTACAGTAACAAAGAGTAAATTCCGCCTAAGAGAGACAGGTGTACAAAACAGGGACCAACGCCATCATGTCTTCATTTCGCAAGAGTTCGAGAATGTCTCATGATTTGAATGTCAATGCAGAGAGCGTGCCAGGACAGCCAGTCTTTGTTTTAAAGTTTACTGCAGAGTATAAGACATTAATCTTCAATCTACCATGGACAAAAAAAATAATTTGCAATGCGGGATTTTTCTTTTTTTTTTTTTTTCCTACACTGACATATGTCCATGTCTGCTGCCCCAGCTTTATTCCCATTGAGCGAAACACATAAAGTTCTTAGGCTTAACCAAGTTTTTCATCTGAATGTCAGCTGGTGATGCGTGACAATAAAAGTTTCTTCTTTATGCAAAGTTGCGCGCTCTTCTCAGTTATGATCCGAGCCAGCATCTGGCACCTTACTTACTGCTGTTATCCTCTTATCCGCTCTTGCATCGTTGCAAAACATGTCAGTTGAATCTGCTGCAGAAACTAGACATTGTAATTCCTGAAGAAATTCTGTTTAAATTCTGAACAGCTAAAAAGATAAGATGATAATCATTTGCATGCCAACACAGCAAGATAGCAACATGAGTACAAAAAGATGCAGATTGAAATTTTAAATCTTCCCCTTTAGGTACTAGTTCCGATGACAAGTGATAGAATTATAACATATAGGCAAAAAAAAAAGAAGAAAAGTGGATTGATTCATAGTAGTCAGCCACTGTTGCCAATTAGAAAAGCTAAAATGCTAACATATGGATTACAAGGAAAACTTAATTGATAATGTGACCAGCGTGTCGTCAATTATCCCATCGCCCAATGCTTGTGCAAACTTTTTTCTGAAGAATTCCCCCCGTTTTTATAGAGCGTACCCTTCCTGCAACCAGCCCCCTGCTACCTCTCAGATTCCATTATTCTTAGATGATATATTTTTCGTGACATTTTTGAATGGTGGTTTTCTGTGGGATATTTCTCATGTTAATATTTTTGTTTGGTGGTGTGCTGTGACAGTTTTCACATGAAAAAAAATGTACTTTGGCTGCATCAAGGTTAGAAAACATTAGAACTGGATGTGAGTTATGGAGCCACACAGGTTCATCAGTAATTGAGCCACTCCAGTTTATCTAATGCAGCAATCAGCTAATTGACGACACGCTGCACACATTCTCGATGAATACACATCTTAAAAGCGTCAAACAAGGATGTCCTTGTGTCCTGACAAAGGCTGCCTTCTTAGTCAAACGCGCCCCAGAATTTCCACGGCCAGTGCTGCTGCTCTGCTTTTGGATATTTTTGGTCTTTTAATGCATTTTTGCTTGCTGCCTTTGGAGTTTTAAGTACAAACTGTGACGCCGCACTCGTGGACATTTCTAGAGGCGGGATGGGGGTCCAAGTAATCTAGTCAATGCTGCTCTTTCAGTGTCTTGATACATAAATTACAGAAAAAAATCTGTAAGAAGTGAGAAGGAAAACTCGGCTTCAAACAGACACCATTTCCAGAGGTGGGAGTAACGTGTAAGTAAGTCTTAACCTTCAAGCAAATCCCAAATTACTGTGATAAAAAAATAGGCAAATAGAGTTCCCCTTTGTTTCAAGCAAGTCATTACTTTTGGTAAACCGAGTCATAAGTCAAGTCATACACTCTTGCTGAATCACAATTCATATTTGCACGAAGGCATAGGTATGATGGGATGCTAACTGTGAGCAAAAATATTGTAGGATCACGGTATTGCAATTGCAGCTCTAAGATGATTACGTTTAACTGATGATGTAAATAACTTTTTTTCCATGAAAAGCCCTCCATTGGCACATCAGTAAACAAAATAAACAACAGAATTTTTATAAATAAAATGTCATACATCAGTAAAAGTATTCTTTTCTCAGAAAATGAGGAGCGACCAAGCTGCTGTTTAGCGCTTTGTGAAGTAACATCAGAGCCTAAATGAACTGATGTAAACCATGCTTGTTAGCTAGTTACCTGCCTCGGTAGCGAGCCTAGAGTATTATAATTTTTTTTTATTACCCATTACTGTATATTCATTCATATATTCATTCATAATTTCAAGAGAGCGCAGTACTCATATATTAATGGTAACTTGAATTTGTTGAAGAGTGATGGGCCTCGCTCTTCTAAACATCATAACCTGCTTGCAAGTATTGCCTACTTTAGCAGCCACTCTCTTTAAGCAGGTTTTGCATGTTGGATATTCTTCCTCTACCAAGCCGAGATACCCGAAAAATTCCCCAGAGTGACATCAGGGGAGAAAACGTAGGGCTCACTGACTGTTCCCACCAACAGTGGGAGTGAGAGAGATCATGTCACTGTGTGTGTGTGTGTGTGTTGACAACAGCTCATCCAGTGATAGAAAGTTTTTTCGGTGTTTGAAACTGTCTTTTTACAACAGCGGTATATCGTCAAACTCAGAACCGGCCCATGATAATCCAAATGTAATAATCTTCTGAATTTACTCCCAAGATTTCTGCTTCCTGAGGCTCGTTCCTGCCGACTGCTGCCAGGCTACTGAATAGACAGACCTGAAAACCTGGACTCACTTCCAGTCACCCATTTTTAGTGTGCTTATATTTAAATTTTATCATTTATATTTATTTACATACTATTTGTTCTTCTACTTCTCCCTTTCATAATTTTGCTGCTGAAAATTGGGAATTTCTCCATTGTGAGACAAATAAAGGTTTTCTTATCTGATCTCATCTTAGTCTTTAAATCTGCAGCATTATTGCGGCTTTTCAAATGTATCCAGACAAGGCTTCCCAAGCCATGATGTAGTTTAAGTTGAGCCTCATGAGCACCAATTTAAATTGAAGTCGTCTTTTTTCAGTTTTAGCCATGCAAGTTACAAATCCTAAACTTGGTGACTTTAGTCTGATTAAGAAGACTGATTGATGTGGGTTTTTTTTCTTTTCCCCCCAGTTTTGGCAAGAGATCGGCAGGCAGCCTGAGGCGTGGATGTGAGTGCATCGTCCTGGAACCCTCAGAGATGATTGTGGTGAGTCTTCCTGACCAAAATGTCTGTGGTCAAAGCAAATTTAACAGTGTATGTGCTGGAATGCGTTCGCTGTTTGTGGTTCCAGAAGTTTGATACAAAGATACTCAAGTGACTTTGTTAGGTAGAAAGACTGTTTTTGTTTGTCTGTTTACCAAGTTGTGATGCGAAAATAGTCACAAAAAGGAAACAACCATCTGAAATTGATCTAAAAACTATCTTTCTATATAGCTTTTATCCCAACATACAACTGTTCAAGATAAGAGCACGGGAAAAATACATGTTAGGCCCACTCAAGACTGCATTTTTTTTGGGTTGACAACAACAAATGTGCAGTAGGCTAGATTGAAGACTTTAAACGTCTGATGATTGGTTTGTTGAAAAGCCTAAATTGTCTTGCCTTTACAGAAACATCTGTTAATGTGTAGGGAAGACTCAAAATAGAATCCATACATGGCAGGTTTTTATTTCACAGGTGGAAGATTAAATCATTCTTGTTCTTGTTACTTGTTTACTTCAAAAATATATATGTGAAGTTCAAACTAATTGACGATATTGAGAAAATGTTGACTGGGTTCGTTGAACATGACATAGCCTTTGTTTTTCAAAAAATGTATGGTAAGTTTGTTGTGAAAGATCAAATTCTCTGATATTTGCAAAAAAAAAAAAAAAAAGGATGTTGGGGCCTTAAGAGTTCTAAATGTGTTTTGATGTTTACAAAACATGCTTGTTGTTAGTTTATTGAAGATGTTTGCAAATAAATGCAAGTATATTAGATTGAAGATGAAATTGGAACATTAACCATCTTTGATGGTGACAAATGTGTGCAATTGTCTGATGCTTTGACACAAAGGTTTGTGAGGCTCATGTGAGGTGCTAAATTATCCTGGCTGTTTACAAGAAGGTTATTTTGAGCTATACAAGACTTAAAATTACTCAAGCTTCAACTGCACATTGAATTGCAATGACTTTTTCCTCACCAAGGTTCTTCTTACTTCATGTCATGTTCATGTAATGGTAGCCTGTCGAGCTTCTTCTCTCCAAGCTTTGGCGTGCAGTGCTACCAAATAACAGCTGGTCGGCAGCGAGTCAGATTGCAGCGGATCCCGTTAATCTCCCTTTCACATGCCGTAATTGCTGTGCGGGATGTGTGTTGACTGAACATTCACACAGCGCACCCCCACACCAAGCGCATCCCCCAACCCCCACCCACCCCTTGTAAAAAATAACACTCACTGCTGCACACTCTGCCATTTGCTGCAATAGGTGCCATCCAGCCCGATAATTATGATGTCTATGCTATGCTACTGCAATAGCTACAGATGATCCCTAAATTGGAAATGTTAGCGCAAAAACAAGAATTTTTTTATTTTTTTTCTCGATTTGCATGCACGGAGATTTGCAACCGGAGACGGTTGTCATGGTAGCGGAAGAGGGAGATTTCAGTGGTGTAATCCCGGTCGCTGTCGGAATGTGAAGTGGCGAGGAATCAAAAGAAAAAAGCAAAAAGAAGACAGAAGTCATGAAGAGATGAGTTTTTTTTTCTCTCCTTGCCACAAAATAGAAAGATGGAGTTTAGCTTTTGCAATTTTCCACTTGCATCCATTATCACTAAACACCTTTAATCATCACGGCCTGCTTCTTCTTTTTGCGTCGTATTATGTTCATTGAAGACTAAATGAATTTTCTGACTGATTGCCATTGTTCCTATGACAGTAACATGAAAGTTGTATTCTAATTGTTTTTTAGGTTTACTAAAACGTGAGCCTCTTTTACAAGCTGAATTATCGTGCTATTTGTGAGTTCCTAAAACGCTGTGACTCCATCTTGTCCCGAGCGTGCTGATTTGCAGCCATACCACTGGCTGTGTGGACCAATCACAAAGTAGCAGTGTGTCTGGGGCAGAAAATGCGCTTGTGACAAAAACTTTTCTCAGTTGACAGTCGGCTTGATTCAAAAATCAACATTGTAATAAGACGCTCTTTATCTGCGTATTCACACTGCTAAAACGACAGCTATCATTCAATGCCATGATGCCATCTGTGCCAACCACCGAGATAACCGGACTCAGATGGTCACAAGTCACATGACCGTGGCGACATTTTCATCTGTTGCTGTGATTGGTCAAAACAAACGATTGGTAGGTGTGAACAAGTTACACGATGAGCGCCAAGTATTGTACTGAACGGCCTCGCCTTTCCCGAGCCGATCACATTGGGGCAGTCCCAGATTGATACTGTTGAGAACTCCTTTCAGTGATTCACGTAGAGGTATGGCTTTTGTCAAGTTACTAAAATGTATGCTAGTCATCAAAGACTAGGACAGGGTCATTATGCATGCCAATTCTACCAATATATTACGTCAAAGTGAACAGTACAATTTTGCTCAGGTCACGCTCATCCGACCTAGATAACAGAATAGACAGGCCCAAAAAGCAACGAACTCACGAAGTAGCAGAAAACAGTCAATGCTGAATAGATGACGTGAAATTATTCAATTTAGCAAAAGCTGGCTCTATTTGCAAAAAAATGATTGAAATTGCCACAAATGCATCAGGACTGAGACCTCCACGAGGGGCCATGTTTACTTCACATAAACCCGCTGTGCCACGGGATGTGTTTTGTGCGCATGCGTGTCACTTCAAGGATTGACGCTCGACAATGTAGCCGCTGTTAGCCTCCAGCTACCTTTTGGCCACTGAACTACTGCACAGCCGATGTGTTTATGAGAAGACAATTAATCAGAATTGAGGAGGAGGAGGGGAAGAGCAAAGTGCTGCTGCTCTAGGACAAGCCCATTCACCCCCTCTCTCTCTGTATCTTGCATTCGCTCGCTCGCTCTCCGCCACGCACGTCGCAAGCGCAACACTAAGAGACAGTATGCCAGACAGTCAACACTGTATCGAAACACAAGGGAAGATGCTGGGTGGGGCTGTGAAGGTGCGTAGCCAATCAGCTCCCAGGATACATCCACTCGTGCTGTCATTGGTCGACATCGTGCTGGGAACCAATCATGCACCTTGAATGAGTGCCCGTTGCATATACAGTACAGGCATGTACAAAACCTCTGAGTCATTCAGCATTTGTTTTCTGAATACAGTACTGTGGAAAAAAACCGATGTACTCAAGCCGCGATAAATGAACCGCGATTTAGCGAGGTATCACTGTACATAATGAAAGCTGTTTTTTACTTAATATAAAGTATTTACATGCACCTCTGTTTTTAAAGTGCTCTGTGATTGGAAAAGGAAATAAACACCCGTGAACCCGATTGAAATTCAATTTATTCCAGTTGGAATGGGTCATATGGTGCTCATGTTATTCCATTTGGTGATTCAATTTCATTCTAATCGTAATATACAGAGGCTCCATGTAAATTTGGCTGTGTATCATAGAGTCAATGAAGAATTGTGTTTATTTGGAGGGGGGAAAAAATATACAAACAAAACAAATCCATCAGAAATTTGCTAAAGACTCTAATTTTTCTTGTGTCCAAAACATTGACGTCCACCAAATGAATGCCTACGTATCTAAAGTGTCGGATCTTTTTTTTTCCCCAAAGCACAATCCTACATAATTGTGGACGATCAAATTTTCAGAATTGTTTGTTCGGTTCTTTGAAAAAGTAATTTTCCCAAAAATGTACGTAGAAAACTCTACATTGTCTTTGACGTTTTTTACTGAGCATTTTCCATAAGAGTGGCGTAAAGAAAATAGGAGAGGACACGTTTATGAGGGATGTGTTTTGACGAGATGCTCGTAAGGTGGGGTAAAAATCCTCGACCCCCACCCTGGAATTTCCCCTAACTGTCTATTCTGCACGTTTCCCAGGTGGACTATATGGATGAGAATGAGGAGTACTTCCAGAGACAAGCCTCGCACCGCCAATCCCGCCGCCGCTTCCGGAAGATCAACCAGAAAGGGGAGCGGCAGACCATTATCGACACGGTGGATCCGTACCCTGCCGGGAAGCCGCCCATAGCCCGGGGGTACCACACGGTGAGTTTGGGGAGGAGGGGTGCACTGCTGGTTTTCATCTGCTTTTAACCCTCGCTCTGCTGAATCACCGCTGCTGTTGCTGCATTGTTGTTTATGCTGTTGTGGACGTTTTTGGAAGTAGCTCAGCTCACCCTGGTAGTTTGTTGTTGTAGTGGTTGTGTCTTCCTTGCCAGTTGATCTGTGTTGTTTGTTCAAGTGTCTTTGACAGATTTCCCTGTAGTTCTTGTGTTAGTGTGTTTGTGTATGGTTGTGATGATATCTGGTGCTTCCTATATACACGTGCGCACGCACGCACACACACACACACACACACACACACGGATGTCTATATGTCTATCTCACAGCTTTCCTTCCAAGAATATCTATCCGTCTATATTTTCAATCTACTTAGACCCATCCAACCATAGTATGCATTGGAGTTGGAATCTTTCTTTCTGTACGAGTCTGAAGCCATTGCTTTCCTCGATATCCTAAATACAATGTACTGTATATCTGTCTGTTTTTCAATCTATCCATCCAACCACCTTCCAACCTATCACTGTCCATCCATCCATTCATCCAACCATCTAACTATAGAACCCAATGTAGTTGTGTGAATCATAGCTTTCCTCTTTTGAATCTTCAGTTTTAGTTATATTTAGCATCTCTCTCTCTCTCTCTCTCTCTCTCTCTCTCTCTCTCTCTCTCTCTCTCTCTCTCTCTCTCTCTCTCTCTCTATATATATATATATAAAATTTAAAAAATTTGGATTTCTATCTAGTTTCATAGTATTCAGAGTGCATTTATCACATTGTAAAATGCACTCGACTTTTACATCTAAAATAAGTCCACGGTATCGCCTTTAGTTTTAGCCGCACCAACATTTCTAAACATATCAGGAATGGTTCAAGGTGCAAAGAATAGTAAAAGTGGAAAGTAATATCATCTTAATTGTCCGTCCGTCCATCCATCCATTTTCCGATCCGCTTTATCCTCACAAGGGTCGCGGGGGGTGCTGGAGCCTATCCCAGCTGTCTTCGGGCAGTAGGCGGGGGACACACTGAACCGGTTGCCAATCGCCAATCGCAGGGCACATACAGGCTCACACTCACACTTAGGGACAATTTTGAGCGTACCATCCACCTCCCATGAATATTTTTGGAATGTGAGAGGAAACCGGAGGACCCGGAGAAAACCCATGCAGGCACGGGGAGAACATGCAAACTCCACACAAGAAGGAGCCGGGATCGAACCCATGACCTCTGCACTGTGAGGTCGATGCGCTAACCACTGGCCCGCCGAGCCGCCCAAATGAAGAAGTCCAGCATGCTCTTTGCACATGACCTGATCCCGATTTGAACCGGGGTTATCCATTGGTGCCACTAGCTCATCTTGATAGTCTTTATTTTTAAATAGCACATACTTTCAAGTATTCAAGATGTAAGTTAATGATGGTTATAAAAGCTGCTTACTGGTGCCATATGCTGCCATTTACATATGATCCAATGAGTCGACTAATTGTGACTACGGGGACTAGTTGACCTGCAAAACAGTCATTAGCCTGGTAGTTGACGAGCAAAACAGTAATTTGACAGGTTAACTATTTTAAATTCATACCTTTCATCACCTAATCCGTTCATACATAAACTGTAAATGTGGATGTTTCTTTCAGGCACTAAAATCATACTGTTTGTATTTTCTTAACTATTTCAACCACTTTCTGGGAATTTTAAGCCCATCGTTAAACCATACAGTATATGCAACAGAACTCGTGGGAATGTTGCTAACTTAGCCGTAAACTTGGTTCATTTGAATTTGGGAGTTCCTTTGTACAAACTGTAATCTGCATTGTACTGAACAGTACTGCATGGTGAAAACAACATTTTGAAGAGTCGTCTTTCTTTCCTGATAATAGCAAGTGAAGCGTTCTCACAGCGTTGAGTCTGTGCACAGTGGCTTTCCTGTTGTGCACAATTTCACCGCATTCCATACATTCCCGGCATGGACCCGATCCCTCCTGAAACGCTGTGAACCCCCCCCCCCCCTTCCCCATTAAAAAAAAAAAAAAAAAAAGGCAAAGAATGCGGCAAAGGGCTCGGAGGCCGCGCCCTGCTTCCTAAATTTAGAGAAGCATTTCTGGTCATGAAAAAGGTCTGCACTCAACTTTCTCATGGTCACTTTTTCCCGTCGCATACTGCCCTCGAGGGAGGAGAGCGATGGAATGAGAGAGGGCACCATGGCAACCAAACGGTGACGAGGAGAAACTGAGCAGATGCTAATCTCTCGTAGCCGGCTAATCTGCCGCGTTTTGGAATGTGATCTTGGAAGTTTTAGCGACGTTGTTGGAAGAAGGCAGCTGGGAATCCACGACGCTCTTAACACCCCCAAAAATGAAATTTTTCTTGTTGCGTTAACCTTAAAATTATATTATGGTCTCACAAAACACCCCCCCCCCCAAAAAAAAATACAAAAAAAAAAAAAACACAAAAAAAAAACAGCAATACATTATTAATTGTCATATCAGGATCTTTTCTGCTTATTTTTGGAGTATTTGCATTATTCCATACGTTTTAGTTTTAACTTTGTATATTTTTCATTGCACATTTAAATGATCTGTTATGGTAATAATGTCATTTATCTTTTTGCATTTTCTTAGGCCTTCATAATGAATCATATTCAGTTGAAGGCTTGATCACTCTTACTGCATTTAAATTTTACTTCTCTTTTGAATGTGCACTGTGTTCGTTAGGGTATAATTTGATTTTCATTTTGATGTTAGCATTAAATGCTAATGGTACTGTTCAGCTTCACATCAATGCTAACGTTACTGTTTAGCATGATAAATTATAAAATGAATAAAGCCAGACAAATATTTGATGACCAAGCTTATTTTAATTTTTAAAAAAATATATTTTTGCATTTGTTCTGCCTTATCTGTTTGGGTTATTTATATCATCTTATTTCTATTTTTTTTTTATTTCCTATATTTTAATTAATAATTAAAATAATTTCTTGTTTTGCTGTTAGCATTATCATCATTCATGAAAAAAAATCATTTATTCACGAGGGAAAAACCTGTTGTTGACTTTTGATTTTCATTTCATTAGTGTGTGTGTGTGTGTGTGTGTGTGTGTTATATATATATATATATATATATATTTAATTATTTTCTTGCTTCATATAATTCCACATTTTCTCATTGTTCCATGGTCAGTTTTCTGTTCATGCTACTTCCAAAGCTTTCTCAAAACGTTTTTTTAACTTTCATCTCTCTGTTTTCGTTTCACATGGCTCCCAGGAATGCAATAAGGTACCATACGTGTCACTTCTAATCATGTCTTGTGTGTGCATTTCCTAGCTGCGTGTTATGAGCACCTATAGCACCTTTAATTAATACCTTCCATTCCATATAGTTAGATAAGCTCTCCACTTCTATTGCGGTTAAAAAAATATCCACACATTTGTCTTAGCCACTTTCTGATTTGCACTGATGACTCGACTATGAGAATGGATGGGGACACTAAGCCTGTAAGGCTCGTGGAGGCCAGGGAGATTAATAGCAACTGTTTAGCTGATTGAGACACGTCTCAATTGTTTCAGGCTATTAGTGTTGTTAGCCGATTGTGGGTGTGGTTATACCATGGTTATCCATAATAATAATAATAATAATAATGCATTACATTTATAAGCGCCTTTCAAAACACTCAAGGACATCCATGATGGGTAATGGTGGGTATCCATACTGGACACAGCTGTTTAATGGACGTGCTCATGGTTGTTTTTTTTTTTTATGTCGTAAAACACTCAATTTGAAAATGTTTGTGTTTTCGAAGTCCCGAATACGAGCCCACAATCAAAAGTCACTCAATACGTTCAATTATCAAACTTGTAGCATTTTGATGTTTTGGGAGTTACAATGAATAAATAAATAAATAGCCCCGACAGGCCGGCTGATTCAGACTCACTGACTAAAACAAAATTGGGTGGTCATGAATCACAAATTTCATAATTGGATGCATTAAAAAGGCAATGACCAATGGCCCTAAAGTTGAACAGGAAGTTGGCCGTTTTGGTGTGTTGCCGAACTCCTACCATTTTGATGAGTTTTAAATACTGACTGAAAATGTTGTGGAAATGTCGATCCTAGCAGGACACACCAAAGCATTGCCAAAAAAAAAAAAAAAAAAGTACCCATACCTGAAATTGAATAGGAAATCCTTCAATTAGGTTTCAGCAAGCTGTTATGGGCAAATTTCAACAATTTCCAATGACCTGATGATGAACTCAGACTTTGGAATTCACCCAAATGACTCCAATTCGAAGAAATAATCGAAGCTTTTTGAGCCTACACTGATTTGGTTGTTTTGATGCCATTTTGAGTATCCAACAACAAAAAAAAAAAAGCCCCAATTCCAATTTCAGTCATCCAAACAACATTTGGTGAATGTCTTTCATTTCAGTATGAATGAAATTGTGTCAAGGACCCATGCCTGAATTTAAATAGAAACTCTGCCATTTTAGTTTAAAGCTGCCAATTTGGGCAAATTCCAAGGCCTTTTGTGACCCTCAGCCCAAATCAGAGGCTTCCTCGATAGATGTGCCCTCAACAGAACGCTAAATTGCCCAAATCCACTGATTATGACTTATATAAACATGGATATCATGTCTCACATCATTGTTTTCAGAGGGGTCTAGCACTTAGACCTGCTGCAAGACGGATGACGACAAATCTGCCGCCGCTCTATTTTTAGAGCTGTCCTTTGTGACCAACCAAGGCACGGCTCAAATACAAGAGCCGCCGCCGGTCTGAATATATGACGGAAGAAGTGCTTGGCTGTGAAAAGCAGTGTGATTGATTCGTGCTTTTCGTCAGACTAAATATATAGCAGGTGTCTTCTGTACTGTGGCATACATGTTTTTTTCGGAAAAATGACTAAACTATGCAGATGCTGCTGCACACCCTACTTCTGTTTGTGCTTATATATAGCACACGATCAAACAATAAAGCCAGGATAGAAATAGAACAGTTATTTTTGGATGAGTGCCAAAAATGCAAATGAGGAGGGGGTGTGGGACTGTGATTTGGCACACATTTCTTATCCAGCCGCGCCGGCCCGACATTTGATGTGCGGTTCATGTTGCATTGACATTCAGCTGTTTTTTTTTTTTTTTTTTTAATAACAGTAATATATTTTCAAAAGGCTTGACAGATTTATTCATTTTTTTAGTCTGTGTGGTGGTGGCTCTGTAAAAATCACACTGTTGTGACACCATTGTTAGGTATGTTAGACAGAAATTAGGGTTGTTTAGCTGGCAGAATAAGATCATATAAAATGTGTGTGTGTATGTGTGTGTGTGTGTGTGTGTGTGTGTGTGTATGTATATATATATATGTATATATATATATATATATATATATATATATATATGTATATGTGTGTGTATGTATGTATGTATTACAAATTTGGCCACTGTGGCAAATTTTCATGAAGGATATGTTTGTGAATGGTAGCGACAAACTGTACGTGATCAAATGGTTACTATTTTTACAGTAGAGAATGCCAATAGAAAAATGACTAGTCAGTGGAATTGATTGTAGTAAAACACTACGCTTATAAGACGGAAGTATGAAATAAACACCAGTATGATGAAATAGATATGCTGTATACAGATGGGAATGTGAACAGCAGTAGAATTGCATGTAGGCAATAATAAGTCTAAAATTAAGTTGAGAATTGTATTAACACCAGCAACGCTCTCAGTAGTTTAGTGACAACTATACATGGGGAATAGTCAACTTTATGTAGCAATAAAACTATAAATGTACCAATAGTCTGTAGACAAGCAATTGAGAATGAAAAACACCAGCACTATTAGACTATGTATAAAGATATGAATGGCAACATGAGCATAAATGGTCAGCAGCCCTGTATGGTGCAAAAACCTGCACATGCAACAGTAAGTAGTCTATACATTAGCAGTTGAGCATTAAACATACACCAGCACAAACTATCCGCAGTATAACCCAACCTAAACATGTGGCAAGAATAGTCGGTGGCATTATAAAAATAAATATGAATGCGCCAATAAGTAGTCCATAGATCAGCAGTTGGGACTGAACTAAGGCCAAACAAAAAAGATAGTGTGTTTCCGGTAACATGAAATTTCAGCATAGGGTCGGTAGGTCGGACGAAGTTTTTTTTTTTTTTTTTTTTTACAGGTTTTTAAAGTTCAAAAAAATGAATAACCATAAAACAAGAAGACATTGAACCCGCCGCATCCACCTATTTAGTTTTCTTCCAGCTCCGGACTCGGGGGGCCGTGGCGCGCCGCCGCCTCCGCCGCCGTCCTCCTCCGCCCTCGGTTTTTACTCGGCCGTGGTGTTCATCAAATAGTTCGCTGAATGCCGACCGTAAAGTTTTTTTTCGACGTAGAAATTCTCGGTCGGTCGGGTTACCGGAAACACACTACTTTTTTTTCTACGCCTAACCTATATTCACTATATTCACAAGTTTGCACACATTTTCTATCATTGCTAGTTGACATGACTAACAGTTGTGCTTCATTTAGCCCACTGCATATGTTTAACCCCAACAGTTAAGTCGTCCTCGCCTCAGTTAAGGCTGATACATTTTTGGCCCAAAGCAGAGTTAAATAACATCCGCTTCATGACCTAAGAGCACCTTGTTCCACAACCCTAATCGGAAGCTGCTAGTTACACATTAACCTCAAACGCGGTGGATCGGAACTAGCTGCTGATGTGATGGATTTATGCTGCTAGGCGGCGGATGTGTGGGTCAGGACGCACGGTTGCACCCGCGTTTAACCTGCGAAGGGAGGGGGAGAAAAGTTGGCGGTCTGTGTGCTGAATTATTTCCAGGCGACGGCAGCGTGATGAAAACAGTGGTCTCCAAGGGACTGGATGCAGCCTGGTTTTATAACATCTTTCTTGTGTTAATAGTGCTATTTAAATGTGGGTTACATAACTACAAACCTTATCTTTTGGGGGCCTTAACATGCCCAGAAAAGTCAGCAATATTAGCTGGGTAAAATTCACATATTGATTTTAGGAATGGAGTATTTTGTGGAAAGTTAGGGGGGAAAAAAAACATTGCCCCCCAACTCCAAGTTCACAGATTGCCACAAAATTTGGAGGGTGTATCGATCATAAGAGGATCCACAGTAAAGTCTCAAGGACTCGTACTGCAAATTGAACAGGAAGTCAGCCATTTTGGTTTGAAACCGAGATTTTGGGTGAACATGAAATAGGTCAACAAGACAAATGGGCGGTTTTGCAATTTTTTAAAGGTGCTATATGAATAAAATATATTATTATCCCAATTGTAACAGAAAACAATGATTAAAACCTTTTAGGGAATTCACCCAAATCAGCTCCTAGTGGACACAAACACCCTCGTCAAATTAATGTTCTTACTTCTTAGTCCATTAACAGGAGTACGCTAAATCAAGTCCTGTATTTTCACGGTGATACGGCACACCGTATTAAGAGGTGCAGTGTCAGTTATGGATGCTATTTTTGTATTTAACACATACACAAGATTCACTGCATTAATGGACGCAGGCATGGTAAAGCGTATGCTATCTTAATAAATATGGTAGCATGCATGTGCACTAGTGTATGTTTTTATAAAGGCACAGGGAGCAAAACTGAGTTCAGTTGTACTTTATTGAAGTATTTAACAATATATTCAAGTTATTTATTTTTTTGGTCAATCCCTATCCAAAAACCCATCAAAATCCTCATCTTCTGTTTCCAAAATGAACAGCTGGGAAAGTTCTCCATCAAACATGACAGATTCCCTCGCGTCATTGTCAGAGTCACTCTCGTTACCGTGCGGCTCCTCAGACATTATGCCGTCTTTTGGCCAGAACACGACAAAAACAGCCTTATATGGCAGCCATACTGGGATCACACAACTATTAGCCCGAGTGTCTTTGTTTTTGTCACTGTCCATTCCGCTTGACATTTAACCGGTGGCTAGTCAATGGAAAACGATTAATTGGCTTATTTAGCTTTGAAAAAATGGTGGTGGAGCATTATTAAGAGGTTTTGATATTCTGGAGACATGAGTCCCTCCTGCCGCCCTTGTTGTTGCAGTGGAGGTGATGTAATGATATGCTGGGCTAGCACACACACACACACACACACACACACACACACACACACACACACACACACACACACACACACACTTGACCACCTGAGCTCTTTTTGTTATGGTTGTGAAGAATTACATCATGGCAGGGGGGTGTTTGGGGGGATGGCAAGGGGCTCCCACCCCCACAACC